TGGGTGGACGTAGCTGATGTAAGCGTAAGCGGGAAGAATTCTGGCTAATATAGCACGATCATAGCCAGGGAACCGTCCACAGACACCGTTTGGCRTTGAGAACTTAACTGACACCATACGTAAAACGCTTAAAGCTTTTCGAAGATTGGCTTTAGAATTGGYATCGAATTCAAACGAAGTTCCATCGAGAAAGTACTGAACGAGTGCGGCGTTGTGATATGCTTGGGGGACGTACGCTGAGCCATAGAAAGTCTTGTGGTGAAATCCAGTAAAATCTGGTTTAATCACACCTCCGAAACCTTTGTTGATTTTTAATGCATGCTTTGCCCATTTCYTCAAATGATTCAAATCGTGAATTTCATCTTGACCTTTCKTTTTTTTCATTAGTATGATCTGTAGTCTGTACAGGAGGATTGTTCTCATTCGATCTGTTGTTGTTCCATCGTATACAAAATCATCATCAGGCTGATAGATCTCGTTAAAGTCAGAATACCATTTCATGGCATCTACCAGGYTGTCGAACATTGGATCTTCTCTTAAGCGATTTCTTAACAAGAAAACGGAGTGTACAAATCCTGAACCGATTTTGTTCATTTCATGGTCGAGTGAACCAAGAGAACTACCTGCACCAATTCCTTGATCTTGGAGGTACTCCAGTAATATCTTGATTCTTTGATAGAGGTAGTCATAAAATTGTTGAATAAGTTTTTCAATATCCAAAGCTSKGRAATCTTCYGGTGGACATTCAATTGTDTTYTTATTTTTGAAAGTTTTTACTATTTCCTTGAACTTTTCTATCATATTTTKGCTCTCTCCAGCAACATCCTGAATACCTTTATTGAATGCTTCTCCATCTGTCCCCGAAGAAAGGTCATTGCAAACTTTTTTTGCTAGATACTCTACCTCAACCTTCCTGCTCTTTAAAGCACATTCAAGTGATAGTGGCAAAAGGATTTTCCCAAAAATATAACCAAACTTAGTCATTGAATTAGAACCGACTTTTATCTCTTCCTTTCCGTAGTCTGACCTTTTGGGAAATAGGGACGGCCGGCGTTTTTGAAAATCTATCTTTTGGTATAGTACACGTGCCTGTTGTATTGCTGTCTGGAGGCTTTTCCATCGCTTAACCTTCATCTTGTTAAGATTAAAGCCATCATCTATTCCACTGCTGCTGCTTATTGATGAATCCCTATCTGCGAGGCGAATGATTGACTCATCTTCTTTTGCGTACCAGTTTTCAATTCGATTTTCGATTGTTTTAATATCTTCTAGCTTATCATTGAYATTTTCAAGTGTCTCAGTATATTTWGAAAATTGATATTGATTCCAGCGGAGAGTCTGTTGCCAGAAGTCTTTATCATCGTGAAAAGGGGCATCGTCTTTCCCTGGATCACTTTGTCCAACTTTACTCACCACAAGATCTCGACTGGCATAACCAATACTCTTAGAAAATTGGATCAGGTCAAAGTAAAGTTTATCAGCCTTCGTGGATTGAATTATAAACTCAATCTTCTTGAGTTTCTTCAGATGGAAATCGTTGGCATTGAATTCGCGGTATGCTATCCAGATACCTCGCCATCCCTTGAAGTCTAGGTTGACATCAGTTGGCTTACTTGTTATAGAGCCCTTAACTGTCGCGTCCTTACTTGGACCGTGAAAGACGATCTGCATTTTAGAATTTGGAGACTTGCTTTCTTTATAAATCCAAAATTTTATCCCTCCACGTTTTACTTCGTCTTGGTTTCTTTGGAGGAGGAATAGGTCTAATGTTAGCTTGGGTTTTTCTGCACCATTTATGATATCTTTCCATTTCCAGAGAAGAGAATTGTCACCATTTTTGTAAAAACTCTGTGAGAGAGACCTCTCTGAATTTTCAGCACTAAAGTATGTTTGAAGACGATTACCCTTTTTTTCGAAATCGAATGCTGTAATGAAAAAGGTAAAATATGATAAKCATTTACAATGTGTGATTATTGTCTTTCCTAAAAAACTTTTAAAAACGTTTGCATGCGCATACAACGGCTACTTCAAAAAACGTTGAATACAGAATACTGTGATACTCCCACTGCATTGCAAGACCAAAATGCATTGTTGCTATTAAACTGCCCGCCCGTTAGTCAATTTTATCGGTCTGTGAAATATAGGAATTGTACTATTGAATACTATTACCCCCTATTAGCTTCCAATAGTTTAACTTATGATATGCAACAACTGAATTAGGCAAACATGGTTTTGATTTTGCCTTTTGGTAGCCTACTACACCCTAATAGTTRCTATTTTAAAAGTAAAACACTGACTAGTAGTAATTGTTTCACAATTGCTGCGTTATAAAATTGGAAAACTTAATAGTTTTTCTTCTAATTTATTAATCATACTGAGAACCCATTGTCTTCTGAAGCAGTCTGAAGCCTGTTTAGCTCATACAACTCGAATTATTAGAATAATTGGTGAGAACTGGGAGGCTAGTCATCCCCCTATTTAGGCCGAGTTATGTATGTGATAACTCATAGATCGGAAATAGCAAACTAGTTTAATAAACGAATATCGATGGTGCCATTTTGCAAGTGGAATTTGCCAAGGATTGTAGCATGAAATCGATTTACAGAAAATCAGTGAGTGTTTAGAAAAGCATGTTGAGTTTTGTGGAAATTCATTTTTTTCAGGATTTSGAAAAGTTTCTCAAAAATAGTCACAATTTGTCTATAATGTTGATTGATAATGGAGTAGCATGCGTTGCTAATAGAACGTAAAACGTAACGTTCTATATAATTGGAATTTGACAGATCTCATTTCTTTTTACGAAATGCTCTTACTCTAAAATTGAAAGTTCACCCCCTTATGAAAAATTCCGTATCCGCTCCTGGAAATAACTACAAAACTACAAAAGCGTTGACTTGAGATTTAGGTATTTAGGAGATTAGCAATACATTCAATACAAAAACAAAAGATGACCACTSAAGCTAAATAATTTCTTTTCTTTTGTATTTCAATTAATTACCAAACAGCAAAAGTTCTTTTTCTTGGTCAACGTTTTTGTAATTAGGTGTATACAATTTTGTGCGATGATCATGATTGTAGAGTTTACGAAMCCAAGCAATCAAGTGGTTTTACGATATTCCCTTAAGGTACTTCGTACAAATTGAACATGCTTTTGAATMATTAATTTACTTACTCAAAGACGCATCAGACTTTTTAGGTTTCCCTCTCTCGGATGGCGCSAAAGGTTCTTCTGGATCTTCTAATTCGTCAAAGTAGTCTTCAAATTCATCTGCTTCACTAGTAGTGGAATTCCATCCATAATGACCATT